TTTCAAGTGAAAGCGGTGGAGACTCGAATTCAAGAACTCCGTCAGTCCGAAACTGAAAATACGGAAAAATGTCAGGGAAGAAATGAAAGTGACTATTTTATAGCCCCAAAAGGAAATTCCGCCCCTCGCTAAAGATAAACGTCCCTTTGTCCTGAACAAAATAACTGAAGGACGCTACATTGCTCCTGCCCGACACAGAGGACCATGAACTACCACTTTTTTCAATACATAAGACTCGGTTGTCTCACTCGTAAAGAGAAAGTGAGAATTTAAAATCACTTTTTGACGTAGCGGCGTTGGATCGCAAAGTAGCTCTCCGAAAAGTGTTTACAAAATAGGAAACTGGCTGTTATATGAATGTCACGAAGACCGTTTAAGGAATGCACTGAAATTATTGGGAGTTCCCAAAACGTGTCGAACAAAAGTATTAAGTTTATGCCATGAGCAGATCTCGGCACATCTGGGAGTAACAAAGTTAAAAGATCATCTCGCGAGATATTGTTTTGGCTCAAATGTTATCAAGAAATGGAAGTTTATGTTCGAAGCTGTGATCCTTGTCAAAAAAGCGGGTAAACCTAACTACAAACAAAAAAAAAAAAAAAAAAAAAAAAAAAAAAAAAAAAAAAACCCACCTCTCAAACTAGTCTCCGTAATATCAGAAGTATTTTCGAAAATAAACATGGATACATGCAGACATTTATACATCACGACTAAGGAAAAGAAATATGCACTATGCTTTATTTATGAGCACTCTGACAACCGAATTTTTTGAAAGTTTCGGTATTAAAGTTAGTCATAGTTCGGTACGCTACACCCAGTCTAATCTGGCGGAGACATTTCATCGTGCCATAAAAGAATACTAAACGTTTTATGTTTGGAGGCTGGTTCTGATTGGGAAGAGGTATTACCATCGACCTTTCTAGCCTTAAGAACAGTGACGCATGAAAATACGGGCTTCACACCTGCGGAACTAGTCCGTAGAACTAGTGGAAAAAATTTGCGTACTCCAGAGATGTTGTTATACGAACATTGGACACATACACCACAGGAGGAGCAACTAGTAACCGAGTATATTTTTAAACTCATAAATCGCCAAAAGAATTGGCAAGGGCTAGCAGTTGAGTAAATACAAGATCAACAAATCAAAAGAAAAAAAGGGATTATAATAACATAAAGCGAGAATTTCGAAAGTTTAAGGCAGGTGATTTGGTGTTGATTTTGACTACTTTCAAAGTTTTGGGTTGGAAGTTTCAAATTTTGGGTTCACTGGCCGGGACCGCGGAAAATTTAAAGTAAAATATACGAAACAAATTACATTGTGACCTTACCAGGAAAGAAAGAAAAGTCCCGAATTTACCATATCAATATGTTGAAGCTATATTATCAGAGACCTGATGAAATCAATTATTTGCCTTGCAGCAAAAATGATTCTGACCAGATTGATACTGAAATAGATTTTTCTTACACTGATACCAATCCTAAAGTTTATGATTATTCTGACGCTATTAAAAGTAGTAATTTGGAAAAACTATTAGACTCTCCACAAAGAGATCAATTACATAAATTATTAAATAAATAGTCGTAGTTTTTCCGTTTCAGGAATGACACCTCGTAGAACATGACATTGAAGTTATCAAGCCGGTAAGATCCAAGCCGTATCGAATGTCACATCGACAAAATGAGACTTCAAAAAGAGAAATTCAACGAATGCGTGACGTAAAAATTCCTGAGGTGGAGGGAATCTAACTACACTTCTCCGATAATACTCGTAAAAGCTACTATTCCTTTTATTCTACAACAATTTTATTATTTATTTTTACTATTCCTTTTATTCTACAAACCAATGCATCTGATCATGGAATGAGAGTTGTACTAGGCACAACTCTTTAGCAAGAGACAAGAACATCCAATTATATTCCTGAGAAAGAAGTTTTCAAAGGTGGGAAAAAGATACTGCATTACCAAAAAAGGTGCCAGCCTCGTTTTCGGTATCTAGAAACTTCACTATTAGCTAGATGGACAGAAGTTTACTGTGTAAACTGATCATAATCCTCTCATCTGATTACGAACTAATGCCAGTACTAATCCTCGACTAATGCGATTCGCTCTTGCTCTTCACCCATATAATTTCACAATTACTCAGGAAAACTCAGTGAGGATGCCGATGCGTTAAGCCGTAAAACTTGAGATTATATTTCTATATATCTATTTCTTACGGTCTGTGTACGCTTGTCTAAATCTTTATAGTATTTTCAGGATGTATACTATATAATACTTGTTTACAGGAAAAAAACGTAAGATTCTATTTTGTCGGAGAGTAATTAAAGCTTAGTCATTAGTAATTGTATTATTTATTTTTATTTTTATTTTATCTTACTTTTTTCCCACTGGCCTCAAAGTAAGTTTCAATTTTAATCCTTGGTACTTAACCCAGAATAGTGTAAATATTTGTGTTTTATGTTAATTTTTTTTTTAAATTCCTATTATTAGCCACGCTGTCCCTATATCTTGTTCAAATTTTTAATCGTTAATAAAATACTTTTTATTCATTCACTCAAGTTCAAGTACATTTTTTTAAACTTCTAGTGGATGACACTTGATGTTAATACGGTTGTTTCACATTTTAAAAATTTTTAATTAAAAAAAAATTTTTGTATATTTGTATTTTTAAAATTTCTTCTTTGTTGACCTAAGTAGGAATTGACTTTAAATTTTTTAAAATTAATTATTGATTAATTAATGCAAAGACGCAGCTATCCACCAAATAGGCACTCCAATCTCTATGCCGTGGCCAAAGTCAGCATTGAAATGCAAGTTGAAACAACTTGCAAATGCACAATGACAACATCAGTGAGACCACGGACAGCAAGGAAGAGGAACATATGAATTTCTCCCTAAAAGTAGATGAAAACATCACTTTTTCATTCTACTTCTTTTCCCAGTACATCTCGGGCCACGGCCCATTTCCACTCTACTTCTACAACAGACACAAAGCCTCCTCTGACAGATGTATTTGCGGAAGCAACGGAGACCCAGAGCATTACATCTTCAACTGTCCAATGACGTCTGTTCACCATATACGTCATCCAGGCAACCCAGGTCTAGAATTCAGGCGATTTCTAATCAAAGCATTTAGTCAGATAAAGAACATCATCGACTACTTCCACAGACAAAGACTCAATATCTGCCACCCTTAATCTTCAATCCTCTCATTCTGCAATAATTTCAGAGGGCCATTGTTATCTCCACCAAACACACACTTCTAACGTGCCTTCAGTCTTCATTCATATCTGTGCCTTACCTCCATACCATGATATTGTATCTATTTATTATTACGAACTTTATTGTATCTCACCTACTTATGAACATTACGATCACCAAATGTAACAATATGCAGCTGTGTATATCCAAATGTATAACATCTGTATCATTGCATGTCACCTTGTTTAATTCTCAAAAAATACGAAAATGTAGAAAACAGGGGTAATACCATTTCTGCTCATAGCGACGATATGGTGCCCCTTGTACTTGTTCCTGCCCTGTCCTGTTAATATAGTTTGCTAAACAAGCAAATATTTCCAAACGCAAATGATAATTCTTCCGATGCACTTTCATTTGAAACAGAAAATATCAAGAAAAATACATACAGATACATCTTGCATCCACACACATTGTAGATATAGTACTTCAATGCACAATAACATTGAATCGTCTTTTTATTTAGAATCAGAAAATTAAATTTGGTGATTATATGCATTTCATTATTTTACGTTATGTAAAATTAGTAATATATTATACATATACTATAGCCAATTTTGGATATATGTAATTCAAACTTACATTAATTAATATTATTTTTTAAAAATCTGGCTTTAAACAGCATGCCCTTCATGAAAATTTGTTACGTTATGGGCCCTGTTTGCTTCGCTAGAATATTTCATATTTTCGTTTTATTATTTAATATCCCAATTTTCGATTAAGTATTTACTAAACATTTTCATTCGAAAGGTTGTATAAATTCAGTCTATTGAAAGTATTTGAGATATTAATGCCAGTTTTAAAGGTAATATAGCGTTATTAACTCGTAAATTTATGCAAGTTCAAAAAAGGTTATGGTTAGGTTAGGTTATTTAATTACGGCAAAGCCTCGAGGGCTATCTGCCTAAGGGGAGGGATGCCTTCGTGGGGGATTTTCTAAGGGAAACTGGCTCATATACACCAAGTTCAAAAAAGATATATAATAAATTTATCATAGACAGTCTATTGACATTAGCAGTCAGAACATTTTTGTGAGGTTGACAGCGAATTATTGTTGAATTCTAACTTAAAATAGTATACATGTATATAATATACATTATTAAAACATAAACACAAAATTTCTTAGTATTATCAAATGATACTTTATTGTGTGAAATATTACGGAAAAATTAATACCTGAAATACACAAGAAATATAATGGTAAAAATTTTGAACTGTATTTTTCTCGATTTGTTGAAATCTTCAGCTTTTTTCCATTAAGGTACTGCTCCGTATGAAGAATTAACACAGTACAGTATACACAATTCTCAGCTATATTTGAAGCCGCAGACTAATCTGAAGCTTCATCATCATTTAATTGCCAATTATGTAACTGATTATGAAAATGTGATTTTTTTCCCAATACTTAATTCTCAAATACCAAAATTAATATACAGATCTTATTGAAATGGATAAGGGAAAAGTACAGCATATAAATGATTAATCTTTAGAAAATTATGCATGTATTTTGAACATTCTTATGCAAAAAGTATATCATTAAACACAATTTTAAGATACTTTTAGATTTGATAATAATTTAAGCTTTTAAATCATCAACAACAGACAACATATTATCAGTTTAGACAACATATTACATCAGAAATATACCGATAAAGCAAACGCAAGGTCAACATAACATCTTAGTATAAAGAATATAATATTTATTAAACTGCAAAATAAAAAATAAAAATTCAGTCTATTACCTTTGTCGCAGCATTCACGTTCGCTCCTCTTTTTAGCAGCTCTGTGACAACACTTACATGGCCTTCTTTTGCTGCAAGGTGCAAAGCATTCAGCCCATTCTGAAACAAAAATTTAAAATGAAATTCAAAACCTAAATACACTAGTTCGGCATGTTCAACATTCATCCCACTTGAAAGTAATGAGCGAAACAAAGAAACTAAGTTACGAAATATGCTATCTCACATGCTTAGAATTCAATGTATTCTGCAGGCTAAAGTTAGGTACCTAATTATCCTGGTTAATGTTCAATGTTCTGGTCAGTTCATTCTTAGGAAGGGATGGAGCTGAGTTTCTATATACACTAATTTACGCCATTAATATTCAGCCCACTCTGAATGTGCACCTTGAAATGAAACTAAGCATCTGATACACTAAAGCGCAAACTGTGCGCAGCTATTAAAAGAGAGGGGAAAAGCTGTTCATAGAATATATATTCATGCTAAAATATCTGTCATTTGTGGACGTGCAAGTTTAATTACGCACAATTTACTGAGGTCCAAAGCACTTTTTCAAAGCTGTAGAAATATAAGGATTACAAGTTACAAAGCGCGCGCTAAACTGGAAGCCACGATATAGAGATAGTATTTCATTTCCAATTCGGCCGAATTTAATATTCATCCACTAATCAGAGTAATAATAATTAACAACTGAATTTCAAAAGTTAGTTTACAAATACGAATGTCGGATTTGACTCACAGCTAAGGCAAGAAAGCACGAGTTTTATTGCTGTATCATTTTTTGGCATATTATATGATGCTACACAGTACAAACTATTTCTGCATTGTTAACATGTTTCAAATTTAATATTCTTACTTCTACGTGACTGAGAAAAAGAAAGTGATGGCAATCTACTTGTACAATACATTAGTGCAATAAGTATCCTTTATAAGTACCTTATAATGTTAACAGTACCTCGTGTATGCCTTATGTGCTCCCTTATACAGGGGAAATAGGAGGCTCTCAATGTGATTACATTCAGCAGCAAACAATTCAGCGCATGGTGTGGCCAGCTCGATCATCGGACCTGAATCCTATCGAGCATGTTTGGGATACTTTAGGAAAACGTACAACAGCTCTCAATCGCCCTGTTCAGACCCTTGCAAGTGCTTTGCAAAAGCAACGTCTATCACTTCTCCCGGAATTAATACACCGTATAACTGACAGCATCACACATCGCTGTATGTGCTGCGTTGCTTCTAGGTGAGATCAAAGTCCATATTGAAGGCAATTTTCCTATACCAAACTGAGACATCCGATTTGCTCATTTTATATATGTAAGAAAAATAAAGAATATGTAAAAGATTAAATTAACAGCGTAAATTAATTTCCCTTCTCTATTCTAAAAATAGCAACATCTATTTGCACTGCGTCATTTCGAGAAAAACCTATGTCATATTACGGAATTCTACTTACATATTTACTCTTACGTAATTCTGATGATTAAACTGAACTAAAACTCAAGCAGCCAATAATATTTTTAAAGCAATATTAACTATACAATCAAAATGCTTTAAAAACCAAAATTAACTCAGTCTGACTTGAGATTACTTTCATGTGTAACGGAAATTCATAATGTAAATCGAGTATCTGCAAGTCCAAAAGTGCTAACGTCAGTGAAAACGAAGTGTACCGCCATCTCTTAAATGTTCAGAAGAAAAAAAAAAAAAAAAGTTATCAAAGTGTGCTTGTTCTTCACAGAAGTGTTATCATCCAAACTGTGGCTACGATTGTAAAAGCGAATTCGTTAATTAATGCCTTCATGCTCTAATTTTCAAGATATTTACGGCTTCGTCAATCTATGTGCGCATATGCGGTGATTTAACAAGTGCAACGTCGTAACTGAACAGGGATATGAAAATGTGAAAAAAAAAATCGAATCAGATTTACTACGAGTGCTTAAAAATGAAATCTTGTGCCAGCCTTTCAAAATTAATCCAGGGTTTGTTTATTGTAGAATGACGAATGTTTTCCAAGTGCCAACGTTTCAAATCATTCCAGTGCTTTCAGGGTCATCGAACTGCATATCTTAATATGGCTCTTATGAGAATAAATTAGGTTGTTCTTTCCCAGTTATAGAATTAAATTTACAATTGAAGTAGGTGCCAGAAAATTGTTTTCGCTTCTGCTTTTGCGTAATTAAATCTCCATTGGGAACTGATTTTTGTTTTTAAATTGGATATTAAAAACCGTAACACTTTGATATGATGAAATATAATTTAATGGTATTAGAAATTTGAATTCTAATAATTTAGAAAAGTAAGTAAGTAATTCTTAGATTTTTAATTATTTTTAGGGAAGGCTGTTAAGTTTTTTTTATTTTTGAAATTTTGTTGAAAATTTTGAATACGAATTTTATAATTATTCTAAAAATGGAGTGGATGTAAAAAATTTGTAAGTTTAGAGTATGATGAGGATGTACTGGGTTCCTAAAACAGAGGCCTGTAATTACCTCTGTTCAGTTGTTCCTTTTACCCTCTTAATGTAAGATAATGTTGGAGGCTCTCATTTTATGTGTGTGATAATTTTTTAATATTATTATACTTTTTTTAATTGTGGAATGTATTAGTGCAGTTCTCAAAAGCCAGTTACCTTATGCAAGGCACGGAGGCCTTTACAAGTAACTGCCTAGGCACCCTGGGCCACCAGTGCAGACACACACACTGGTTAGCTCAAGAGGACAGCCCTACTGATGGATATGTTTGTTTAGAAGTATTGCGAGGCCTTCCAGTTTCGTGAAATCAGGAATTGTAAATGAAAGATAGTAACGGTGAAATCATAATTTATAAAACTGTTACTCCTATTATATTTATGGTATTAAAATATAATTTATCAGTATGGAAATTAGTATCATAAATATTTATGTGCATTACGTTTAATTTTAAGTAATGATTATGTAAAAGTTTTATGTTGTGATATTCTGTGATAACAAGAACCTTCCCTGAAGAAATATGATTATGTGAACTCTCAAAATAAAAAGACTTTTGGACTGATTACAATTCAATGAACTCTAAAATTTTTATTTATTTAAAAAGGTATTTAATTTCTTAAACCTTATAATTTTTCTTTCTTGAGCTTTCGCTTTTCTTCTTTCTTTCTTCTCCTCTCTTCTTTGTTAGAACGTTATGACGTATTAAAGTTTAAAGTCAGTCGTATCTAATAGTTCAATTACTGAATAAGTTATTTGATTAACTTCATCTGGAAAAAGTCATCTGCTATAAATTAAAATAAAGATATGCTTGCTGTTAAAAGTGAAAAGTCCTGAGTCGTTTTCTCTCCGTTTCAATCATCCCAGCTTCGTCAACCATCTGCCAGAACGTGTAATGGAATAGCCTCACCATTCGCCCACGATGTGTTGGAATAACTGAAAACATTACAGTTATTAATTAGCCGGTAGGATTTATCCTCTACGTGGGAAAAAAGCTCCTGGATTTATTTCTAACGCGCTTCTAAATTCAACAGTGGGTCAAGGACAGTGTGTGATCGTCTGATGCTTTTGCTTCTTTTCCGGCGATTCTTAAGTGCTTTCCCTCGTCTCCAAAGTTATGCGTTTTATCAAGTGCTTCTAAAGTGATTGATTTTAGTGTTCAAATTGATGTGTATGCGAACTCTTAAATTCAAGATTTTGTGATTGGAATGCTAACACGCTCAAAACGGCAAAAATGTCAACTGATAAGCAAGAATCCGTAGCTATTGTGGATACAGTGAAATTTCAATTCCCTATTTTTGACGGCACAAGTACAAATTTTCCAATAGACAAATATCTTCTATTGTTTGAAGAGAAATGTGCCGCAAAGAACATTCCAGAAAAGGAAAAGAAATTTGTTTTCTCAGAGTGTATTAGAGGAGAGGCTTTAGCCCTCTATTTACGTGATTGTTTAGATAAAGACTGGGAACAACATAAAGGATATTTTCGAGACATACTTCACAACATCGGAATCTGTTACTTTTAGTGATTTTGTGTCTTTAAAATACGAGAAATTTAATAATATTGATGTTTATTTTCGTAATAAGTTGAAATTAGGAGCCAGCTTGAAACTAACAGATTCCACAATGGTGGAAGCACTTACGGAAGGACTTCCTGAGTCTCAAAGAATGCTGTTAACAGTGCAAAAAATAGACACACCGAAAGACTGGATTACTCTTGCTAGGAAACTGTTTCCAGTTCAGATGCCGTTGGATGGTCTAGGAAATAGTAATTACCAATTTGTTTCTCCAAGGCAAACTGTTCCGAGGTGCTATTATCCCAGACCAGTGCAAGCCACTCCTTATCAAAGTTTTCGTAGTGTGAGACCTTTTAATTATCAACAAGTGCAATACCGACCTCTACAGTATGCGTATCGGCCAATTCGATATCCACAATTACCTGCTATTAATTATAACACGGTTCCTAAAAGAGAAGTTAAAAAATGATATTACTTTAAAGTGAATGTCCAAATTGGACAGGAAAAAATTCCCAGTATTATTGATACGGGATCGCAAATTAACGTTTTACCGTTAAAAATTTTAACAAATTTGTGATAAATTTCAAAGAAAGAAAGAACACTGCATGCGCCAGGCCAAGCATAGGGCAATGCGAATGTTCAGGAAATCCAGTCAGACAATATTTGTTTTAACTTTGATGGATAGTTAAAACTGCTCTAAAATTATTATTGGCTGCTTGAGTTTTAGTTAAGTTTAATCACCAGAATTACGTAAGAGTCATATGACATAGATTTTTCTCGAAATGACGCAGTGCAAATAGATGTTGCTATTTTTAGAATAGAGAAGGGAAATTAATTTACGCTGTTAATTTAATCTTTTACATATTCTTTATTTTATTTACATATAGATATGCTAATTTCCATAACACCATAAGTGTCTGGTAATTTCTTTTCATGCAGTTTTGTACCTTACTATGTGCTGTATACTATGGTTCAGTTTCATTAAATTTTACATGTAACTTCTTGAGTAAGCCTCAATTTTTGTAATTTTTCTTTAATTAATGAAAATCACATAATTTTAAAATGCAGAAAATAGATTTATCCTGTAAAGCGAAAGCAAAGCTACATAAAACTTTGCA